TCCGGCTTCGATCTTCCAGATTGGGAATGAATCCTTCTTGTAGTAATCCTTACGCTCCAGGACGAAATCACCTTTCTGTCAATAAATAAATGAGGAAACAGGAATGAAAATTTTTAAGGGCGGAAAAGTGGAAAAATAATCTCAAAATAATCAGCCTTACAGTCTTATATATCTGCAGAGAGACACACAGAGAGACACATGCATACAGATAGACACACAAGAGGAAACCAACCAACCTGATAGCAGTGTGGTTCAGTGGGTGTAGACAATATGACTGATTTGTTCATCTGACTAACTGACGTGCTCAACGACCCTAACGTCATCTTATCATCCTTCATCAAGTGCTTCGTACTGGACATACCACCTCGACTACTACTGAGGTCAACAGGAAATAATAATAATAATAATATTATTATTTACTTTATTATTATTATTAATAAGCAATAATATAAGAAGACTGGATGAAATGATAAATAAAAAAAAATGTAAATACAGTAAGTATTGTCTTTGTCTATTTTTAAATAAAATGTATTACATTACATTTAATTTTGTCAACAGATTTGAGAAATGGTAATTAAAAAATCTAAATAATGCAAGTATCATTTTTATCTATTTTCGAGTAAGAAGTATTATATGTAATTTTAAACAAATCTCTTCTGGATTTGTTTAAAATGTGCCTGCTTTCAACATGTACAATACAATATAAATGATACACGTTAATACGTTCAAAACATATCATACACACAAAGTAAAAGACCTATGAAAAAAAAAACTGTGATACACACATGGTACAAAATGTGTATGATACACAAAAGGTTCAACAAATACACAAACCCCCTAGGCCTTCCTCTCCCTCTCCCTCTGTGAGACTTGACAGATGACAGTGCCATAAGTTGTTGGTGGGCTTTCCTGGCATTCTTATTTTAGGAAATGTAAAAAAATTGATTAAAAATAATTAAATAAATAAATCAAAGAAAAAATACAATCAAATATTACAATCAAATGTATAAATTACTGTATCATTTGTTGAAAATGTTAAGATATTAAAAAAATAATTAAATTGGAGAAAAAATTGAAGTACATCGAGACTGCTAGGTTTCCAGCCAGGGTCAGAAACATCTGAATCAGATCCAAGGGCATCTTCATTGAAGTCCATATCATCATAACTATCATCATCACTGCCTCGAGTTTTCCCTGAAATTTGAATAGTTAGAAGTGGAGAAAATCAGAAAATTGAAAAATTAAATTTGAAATTTGGGTGAATGATGCAAAGAAAGAAGTGAAACAAAAAGAGAACTAACGACTGATGATTCTACTCATCATTTCCTTTCGTTTTGCGTTATAATTTGCAGCATTTCCAGTGTATTTCTCAACAAACGATCGTCCCTTCTCTGCACTGGACATGACTGAATAAGACGTCGAATCATTATACAACTTCTTCTGCTTCAGTCCCTTACCTTGGATGCCAGACCCAGATGCAGTTCGTCTTATCGGACAGAATTCAGGAATGTAAGGGGGTAGCGGTGGTTTCTTGATAATGGCACTGTTGGCTACACTAGCTAGAGTTTCAGGTTTGTTGCCCTGCACGAAACTAGCAAATGCTTGAGAGTATCCATCATTCAGAACAACTGGAGGAATGCTGCCAGTATTAGCATCGGTCACCAGGCGACTTTCAGTTTCATCATCCGAGTCAACTTTTACAAAGGCAAACTCCCCATCATCTTCATCTTCTGGAGCCATCAATGATCCTGGCTTTGTGTAAGCCCCAAGTAACCTGCACAAACCAACAAAAAAGGTTTATATTCAGAATATAAAAATTTTTTTGTAAAGTTTTTTGTGAAGTTTTTTTAAGGAATGACATAGCTAGCATTTGTCTGACCAATAAAAATTTTCTAATTTAATTAAAAACTTTTCTTCATAATTGAAAACATGGAAGCTTAAAGTGAAAACAACCAAACCAATTGTCATCAGAAAAAATGATCCTACCATAAGAAATATAAAACTTGACAGATCATTGCGATCTTCCAACTCTAGTTGCACATAACTAACCAATGACATTAATAGCTGACAAATTTATCTATTAAGAGGTAAAGGACCACTGCACAATCAAACAAAATGAAGCACCTCCAAATCTTATGAAAACAATTACAAAGATGAACATTAAACGATGAAATTAAAAGAAGAGATTAGCAATGTGTAGTAAAAATTCCAAAAATTAACTCACACAGCAGATGACTCGTGTTGAGCGACAGCACTCGATGCTTCGGCCAACAACGCCAGAACGTCATTTGGATTGATGACAGTATTGCTGTTTCCAAGATATTGCTGTTGTTGGTGTTGCTGCAACATTTCCTGCAGGGCTGAAGCATCAATCTGACCATTTGCTCCAGTTGTTACAAAAATCTGTTTAATTACCATTTATTTTATTCATATTGCATGGTGACATTAAATTATACTTAGAAAACAACTTTATAAAATGATTCACATTTGAAATATTGAAAAGTAAAAAACATATAAAAGTAAAATTACAAAAACTATAAAATCATAAAGTTTACAAAATATGAAATAAAATTACAAAATCTTAAAAATTTGTCAATTTGATGAAAATATTATAAGATTATAAGAGTACAAACTTGTTGCTGCTGCTGTTGACCTTGCTGTGCATCACCTTCTTCCTGTATGACAAACTCGTAATTTGACAGATCCAACCCACCAAGACCACCTCTAGCTATCATTTCTTGTAGTTCTGCTGGTATTTGCTGACCAGGTTGGAGTATAAAATCTTGAATGCCTGCTACACCAGTAGTCTGATCAATCACTTTCTGTGATGCTCCACCAGATTCGTTGGGAACAATAAGAATTTGCATAGCATTTGGATCTTCGTTACCAGACACTAAGTGATTGCTATTTATCAACTGTTGCTGTTGTAGTAACTGATCTCCAGCTCCTCCAGTTAAAACTGACAAGCCAGCTACATTGTTGCTGCCATCCACCAATTTTAATGTCTCTTGCTCAGCACTTATAGTTGCCAAATCTTCCAGTGAGATGTTGCTATTAGGTACCCCACCAACTGCTGAAAAGCTTTCATTTGCCGGTCGAGCAATGAGTTCCTGATTAGCTCCAGCAGTTATTTCATAAGTCACTCCATCAAGGACAGCGTATAGCTTCTCACCTGGTGCCAAATTTGTTGGAATATCGGCTAACATCACATCCTGCAAGAGAATATAACAAACAAGCAATATTTAAAAAATGACCTATAAACACCATGCATACTACAGTTTTATTAAAATATGTTAAGAACCAAGCACTAACTAAAGCTAAATTAAATTTCAGTTCGCTTACTTGGGTTGAACTTGTCAAGTCTTCTTGTGGGTGTATTAATTTTGATGGCACTTTTTGTTGTCGACCAGATGGTTGCTGAACATACTTCTGGCCTGTAAGTAAACTTTTAACTACATTTGATTCGCTTCCTGTACCATTTTGTCTACTGGCAGCATTCCTATTTGAAGACTTGACATTAAACTGTGGATTACCTGATGGTTGCCTATTATTTACCATTCCACCAGTCTGTTGGCTGAGCATTTCAATCACCTAGCAAATTAAAATTATAGCTGCTAACTATTTTTTAAGTTTTAAATGCTAGTTTACAACTGTTTGGCACAAATTAAATTAAGCAAACAAACCCAAGTTAATTAAAAACAAATTTTAAATTATTAATAATTAATATTAAACAAATAAATAAGTAAACAGTAGTGCTGTGATAATCATCATTTCGAACACCAGCCTGATAAACGGCCGATAAACCGAATTTCATTCAAACAAATTAATAAGAAGCAGCAAAACGCCGTAAATTTTCGGCATTTCGAAATCAACAACAACGTAAATAAAATAAGAAAAGAATACAAAACAACGATCACTTTGAATTTTCATAACAAAAACTAACTTCAAGTAGGGCTAAGCGCGAATCCTCGGAAAAATAGTTCAAACAGTGATGGATAAATATTCAATAAAAAGCTAACTAAATAAACAATTCTAAAAAATTTCGACTGAAATAATTAAATTGAATATTTTTTAAATAAATTTTCGACGTCGATATTGCTAGAAACGAGACAAATCTCAAGTTATAAACAAATCTTATATACTTTCGAATATCGCCATTTTGAAAGCAAAGTTAGGCTAGAAGCGTGAGCAAGCTGGCCAATAGCGCTTTGTATACGTCAGCCATGTTGTTTTTATACTTGCTGTATTCTAATTATTTTACGATGTCCTAACAATTGCGCTCCACTCAATATCGACAACTGATTTTATTCATATCTTTAAACTAAACGATAATGAACCACAAAATTTCGACAACGATTATATTTAGAAAACTTGTAACGTCCGAACAAAATCGCGTTAAATTTTTTCAAATGCCTTACCTAAGCTAAGCTAGCTAGGCCTTTGAGGCTGAGTGACTTGGTTTTATTTTATCCCATGATTATTACCTTTTTGGATTTCGCCATCAATTCCGAGTCCAAGCGGACTTGTTTATGCTTTTGCGGATCGGAGTTCGTACATACAATTACGAACACTACCAATCGAATGCTAATCTATCTATCTATTCACGTCACGATCTGCGTATAATTCGAAATAAGTAGAATTAATCCGAACGAATAAATTTCAACACAAATATGACACCACTCAATCACTTTGTCGGAACATTTTAAGTCGAAAAATTATTACGACCAACTAAAATCGCGTTTCGAAATTTAATTCAGACACAACTCACTAAAAATAGTTTTTCAAATTTATTATACCAACAATCATGCTTGGGCGATGTTTTTAATTAGTTAATGAAAACAGTCAATCCATTTCAAATCAACAGTAAATACAAAAATATGTTAATTTACAGATACATAATCTTTACATACTAAAACTTGTACACTACATAGTTTTGAAGAAAGTTGAACTCTCTGCTTTTGCAGGTCTCAAAGCTGAAATAAAGTTTAGCCAATAGTTAATTAATGACATAAAAAATAAATAAATAAAGATGAAAAAAATTCACTTACATCATCTATGTCATCATCGTCGACGTCACAATCATCAAAGAGTACGTTGTCATCCATGTCGTCACCAGCATCGGTTTCATTTATCTTGGCTGGAAATTATTATTATCAAGTTAGACACATTACAATTGAGTAATGAGACTTTAAATAAGTGTTTAGAGTTAATAAAATGTTTAGATTTTTTAGTTAATAAGATATAAAGACTGATCTTAGAACCTGATTCAGGCAGTTCTCCATATGCTTTTAAATTCCTAGCTTCATCTGGTGTGTATTTGAGAATGACATCGGCCTTGTTGTCCTGGTAATCTCGAAGCCCAACCAAAATAATATCTCCTCCATTAATCCAAACCTAGTTTCAAAAGAACAAATTTTAGTTAAATAATTATAATAATATATAGATTGTAAATATAATTCATAAAATTTAGTTAAACCAACTTTTTTTCGGAGCTTTCCCCTGATGTGGCATAAACGCTTGCTACCATCAAAGCAGGTAGCTTCCAATCTACCATTGCCTAGCATTTTTGTAACTTGGGCATATTCTGAATTAGAATGAGGATATTTATGCAAAAGGTTATTTGCTTATCAATGATCATGATACAGTATCTCATTACAACTAGCCAATGAGTAGTATACTTTTAGTAATATGACCAGCTGTAATGTTAGATTCTAGATTAACATTAATATAGATAATGACTAACACTACGGTTTAGTTGTGTGAGATAGATTCAGTTAATAATTAGTCCTATGATGGATAATTATTTAATACAAAAATCATTTTTAATGACTTGATCAATAAATCATATAAACTAAATCAGATGAATTTTTGTTTTCGCCTACCTTGTCCATCTTCTTTGAACACCAGTTCCCTTTTTTCATTTTCATTTTCGTTTTTTCCTCTTCTTCTATTTTTACCTCCCTTTCCTATATAAAGTAAAAAGGACCATTTATAAAAATTTTAACAAATGATTAACAACTAGAAATAAAAAGATCAGCAATCAAACATTTTTTTATTTATTTCATTTATTCCACCAGATGTGCTAACATATTTTCGGGTTATTCATAGGCGAATAACAAAATCTTAATAAATTCTAACAAAATTACAGAAAAATTTACCCTTGTTTTTCGGCATTATTTATTAAATCGTTTCAAAAAAATTCTGTGCGTAAAAACCAAAACTAATGAAAGAAGCGAGAAACAGGAGTTCTTAAACAGCCATGTTGTGTTGAAAATATAATCCGAAGCTCGTAGGCAAAGACATTTTAAACATAGACGTAAAATAATTATTAAAAAATTTCCATCAATAACAATATATAGGAAATTTAAAATATAATCGGAATTTGAATTATTGAATATTTATTTCAACTTTGTCAAAGATTAAATTATTAAACATTTGTTAACTTTTCTAAATATAATGTATTTTAATCCAAAATGTATTTACCGATATAAAATGTTTGCTTTTGCTGACGATACCAACCTCCTATTGACTCCTTATAACATATCAAACTGTTCTGATTTAATCAACCAAGTGCTCTCTAAATATTCTGATTGGTTTTCTGCTAATAAACTCATAATAAACTACTCTAAGTGTTCTTACATTATTTTTGGCCCAAAAATCCTAACTAATTTATCTCCAAACCTAAACCTTAATATTAAAAATATCTCAATAAATCGTGAATCTTCTTCTAAATTTTTAGCTATAATCATTTCTGAAAACCTTTCTTGGGAATCTCATCTACAATTTACCTCCTCTAACATTAACAAACTCATAGGTCTTTTCTACAAAATCAAACACAAATTAACCAAATCCGCCTTTAAAAAAAACTCTACTATACTTTTATTTATCTTCATCTCACTTACTGCATAACCGTTTGTGGTAACTCACCAAAAATCCATCTTCATTGTATGATATTGTCACAACAAAGAGCTATACGCTTAATCTTCAACTTGAAACCTTTCTCTTCCACTAGCTCTTTTTTTTATTAAACATAATATTTTGTCGGTTAGTTGTTTATACATTCATTTTACAGCTATTTTAAGTTTTCAAGTTTTTAAATAATTTACTTCCCTCATTCTTTTCTAACTTTTATACACTCAGTGAATCTGTTCAAACTCTCAAAACTACTATCTTTTACTCAGTAAAAACTCGCCTTAAACTCATCTCTACAAGTTTAAAAACAACTGGCCATAAAATTTGGAAATTATTTGTGCCCCATGCCATTCATAACATAACAAACAAGCAACTCTTTAAAAAAAGGTTGCGATCTCAACTTTACTTACTTCACACCGACACCACCATCTAACTATTTATATACATTAATATATAGCTGTTGTTTAAATATGAATGGGTGTGTGGGTGTGTGTTGCGCGCGCGTGTGTGTGGTGCGTGTGTGTTTTTGTCTGTCCGCTCCATTGAATTATATATTATATAATTTCATGGTCCGCTCTTACAATAATTATCTTACTACTTCATAAGTATTATCTGAATGTATTTCATTCTAGTTAACATTTTTATAAAATTTTGATATAGTATTTGAATGCATTTGAACGCTGAAATGGATTTTCTTAATTTCTAACTTTTGAACTTTTGTTTAGTTATGACTTAGTTAAGGGTGGCTTCTCCACAAGTTTATTTTAAACTTATTTGGTCCTCTATAATGAAAAAAATTAATAAATAAAAATAAATGTATAATTACCAACACCCGAAGTGTTTGCTAAAAAATCTGAGACAAAAGAATCATTGCCCCAATAACTTATGCAAATGGTTTAGATAAATTCAGTACCATTCATAAAAAAGTCACAAAATTTAACGAAATTGCGTGTAATTTCAGTACTGGCGTTGAGATAACGCTGCTTTGAACTTAAATGTTGACCGGTAAGTTTGCTAAATAACACAATAAACCGTAATTAATATCAGCGGCTTGCCCAGCATATTTTAGGTGTGACGAGGGCCAATGTAATAATTGTAGTAACGAAAGGTGAAAGAAAGGATTCTGTAGAATTTTTCAAACTAAAACTCGATTGTGGGTGAGTTGCAGCACCAAACCCATGATCAATATTCATACGCCAATTTAGTGGACCCCGTAGAACAATCATTAACGTGTGTCGCCAACAATAATGTAGCCGCCAGGGAAGCAAAGGAAAAAAATGAGAGAAGCCAGTCCAAATTTATATTGGACTTTAAAAAACTTCATCTTCTCAGAGCCAGATAATGTTGCGATTGCAAACGCAGTAATCTATTTTATTTCCAAGTTTCAAATTTTATTCATCTTAGGCTGAAATGACAGCTGAAAGTCGAATCTTAACTGATCTTCTACCTGGCATACACTAAACTATTAAATAAAAATCATAAAAATCCAAGATAATTTTTCGTAAATAATTTTCTTGACATGAAAACCACACAAGTCAACAAGAATTCAAACAACGAAAAGGTTATATTATTATAAATAGGAAAGATAATGTAACTTACTATCATTATAGAAAACATTTCAAATGAACGTAAATCTAATAAATAAAATGAAAAAAATTGTGAAAAACACCAATTCAAAACGGCAGAGGAAATATGTTAATGTTTGGTCAATGCATAAAATGGATCAAAAGGCACTCAAAAAATTAATTAATGGAGTTAACGTCGGAGAAAATAAAGATATAACAAATAGAAAATTTAAAATTTCTTCTTATCATTATTTTTTTCATCAAACAAAATCAAGCACTATCTTCAATCTCGAATATATACAATTGAGGGAATTAGGACGCCGACGGCATCTGTTCTTGTAATAATTATTGCAAAAATTAAATACAAAATATCAATATTGTGCAATGCAATGAAGCATTAATAAATAAATTACTGTTTGAAATGAGCTCAACAAACGAACAAAAATTATAATCTTACAATCTAATTTGATGCGAAATCATTGTTTCCAGACATTCACCGAACCACATGCATTGAACTTGTTCTAACCATTTCTACCATCCCATGTGAACGAACAGAGTAACAGGACAGATAGACCGACTTAACATACACTCACGTAAAAATAATCTCCATCAATTGGTAGACTAGACAAAAAATGATTGATATACAGAAGTCAGTTAGGATTAACTAAATGAATGCAAACAAACAAATTTAAATAGCTAGGCATATTGCACTATGAACAAGTAAAAATATTTTATAGGCTTGATACATATCTGTAGAAATCTGCTACAAACTATCAGATAAAAAAAGACTATGACATGTGAAAGTTTGAAAAGCAAATTGATCAAACGATGATAAAAAACGTGCAAGTACACCACCTCATGCCGAAACAATTTGAAAAAATCAAAGAAGTAGAAAAAAAAAATTATACGCGGTTGATTAACTATATTCGGAACAGTATATATATAATAAACTAATTTGAAATTATTAATATACATAGGTTCAATGTATGTATGAAAATTATTGCATAATATAATTAACAATAAAAGTAGTTGATTATAGATAATCAATTGAGAAAAACCATAAAATGTTGAAACTATTTAATATATATATATATATATATATATATCTATACATTATTATTTTTATTATTATTTGGAAACTTATAAAGCGCCGATTATAGGCGCTTTATATATATATATATATATATATATATATATATATATATATATATATATATAAAAGTTTAAATGTTTAGATATGTTTACATTTACATATACAAGCAACATATGAAAAATTTTGAGCAAGTCTAGGATCATTATCTCCAGTGCTTTTTAACAAGAATGAGAATGATTAGAACATGATAATATACATAATAATTTACCATAATATATATATATATATATATATATATATATGTATAGGAAAAATATTAATTGGATTAATAATAATTATTTAAAAACTTTTCAATTATTTTCTAGTCAATCTATTAATAGTTAAACTGTTCATTGATTTAACTCAATGCCAAACTAACTCAGCGACTAAGGATTATTTGCAAGCAAACACGCACACACACACACACGCACGCACACACGCACACATGCACTAAATATATAAATCTTTTGTTACATATGACATGAATATATGAACTACATTCTTCATTAATAACAAATGATTGATAGTAGCGATTGAAACAAAATATCATTACAATAAGTACCAGATCATAAAAGATAACGGTTACAATGCCAATTGGCTTGTTAAAAATATTTTCTAAAGATTCATAATGAAAATAAATAAGTAATATAATAATAAATAGGAATAAATAAAGGAATTATATATATATATATATATATATATATATATATATATACATACACAAAGAATATACATACTTGCATGTGTGTGTGAGCGTGAATTTGTGGTGTGATTGTTTGAAACATTTATTTACACTGCTGAACAAATCAAATGAAATTTTTTTTTCATAAATAATGGTAATTGGTCCATTTTGACATTTAAAGAGTTAGACTGCATTTCAAAAAGGTTTTGCAAATATTTTATTTGATTGCTGGAAACTTTTCCTGTGGCTGCTGTGCATTATTCCTTCCGGCAGCAGTTTGCATTGTGAAATTTTGGTTCAAGTTTGAAAATAACTGAAATGTGCTCTAAATATACAATCTCAATAACAATCCAGAGGATAAACAGTTGAATTTTTCAAGCAGTCAGATTACAGGCACAATACATTAGAATTACGTCTGAAAATTCACAAATGAATAGCCAGATACCAAAAAAAGAGCACTGACAGCAAAAACATGTATAAAGGTTGCTGAATATAATCCCGAAAATAGGAACCAATTTAATACACGAGCTTATATAGTTATAATTAGACGAATACGCCAAAATACATTTATCTTAGCCACTTAAGCTTTGAGCGTTAGAAGATAAGATGACGGATTTAAGACATTTTCAAAATACTTTGTTGGCAAAACTCGATAAGTCCGTTGAAATTTCTTTTGAACTTTTGAAATAAAAAAGAAATGACTCTTAAAAAGAATATCCAACTATAATGAAGTTAGTTAGTCAACTGTGTTACGCAATAAAAAATGTTATACCAATAGTGACAGTTTTGGGGACTTGAACGTTTCGTGTTGTTGTCGATATCTTCATAGAGGTGTAGTAGTTGCGCAAACGGTGAAGTTGTTCGTGTGAACATAAATTTTTAAATAAAACGAAACTCGTTAGGTTTGTAAAAAATTAATAAATAAGATTCAACATTTTAATAATGAAAGATTTCTACACTAATAAATAAGCCCGTGAATATTATGGTGAAACCAGTGATGTTGATAATACAGAAATATTGAAAAACATCGACATCAAAAACTTCGAAAACAACGATTATAAAATAATACCAATAATAAAAATACTTAAGATAACAAAATCGTCGACCGCCAATAAATACCTTAGCCACATCTCGGTGAACCATAGTCACATCTTGGTGAACCATAGTCACACTCGGTGAACCATAGTCACCTTTTGGTTAATCATAGTCACATCTAGGTGAACCATAGTCACCTCTTGGTGAACCATAGTCTCATCTTTGTGAATGTCTTTCAATAAACAACGTAAGAAAAGAATATTAGCAAGATGACAGCCAGCAATGATTTAGTGGTGACCCGGTGGCACACAAACGCACGTGACCTAGAGACCAAAATGAAATTTCTCAAGAGACTTTTAAACATTGCAAATATATACACCAGCAAATCAGCTGATTGATTTACAAACTTAATTCAAACCAATCAATTAATTAAGTAGGCATTCATAGAAAGAAACGATTTGTCATATGATCGAAACAGATAAGCAAGCAAATTCAATAGGTTAATGAAATAATACATTTGACAGCTGTTAGAGTTTGTAAATTAAAGAGAATGATCTTCACTCAACGACGACACTTATATTTCATATTTGAATTTCAGTAACTTCATACAACGCTCCTGTTGGCAATTTAAACGTTAGCCAAAATGGGAAGAAATATGTGAAAACACACGCACACGCACACACACACACACACACACACACACACAACACACGACTTTGTACATTGTTGTCATATTTAGTAAGTGGAACAATCGAGAAAAAATAAATCGATGGAAATGAAAAATTACTTTGTTGAATTTTATAAAAAAAATTAAAGTGCAACCAGCCAATAATTTTATGTGACTTTGTACTTTATATATAAACATGAAACAGAAATCAAAAGACATATTGTATCATCATTTTCAACCCCCCCCCCCCCCCCTCTCTCCTTTTCTCTTTTTATATTTATATATAAAAAA